TGTTTCGTAAGGGCCGCTATGTCAGACATGCGGGAGGGATGTGACAAAAAGCTGTAGTCTTCAAAAGGACTTTGAAATCCGCAGACAGAGTTCTCTAGTCTGGAGCAGGTTGAGGTGCTGGCTTGGAGACAGCAATCATGCACGAGACTCAAACAAGCATTCCCATCACTGTACCACCATGCGAACCCCCAGCAGGTCGGGGGTTGGGGGCAGGAAGAAAGCACTGGAGTAGCTTTGGCAGGACTTCAGCTGGACTTTGAAGCGTGGACAAGATTTGGAAAGGTGAAGGGGAAAGAGGGAGGCATTTTAAGCACATTTTTAGCATAAGAACGTCTGTGAAGTTCGAGTTCATAACTTGTTCTGAGGACGGGGATGCCGGCCCGACCATGGGGGCTGACTGGGAAGGGTCTGAGGGCCACTGAAGGCCTTGACAGGCTGAGGTGTTTCAGGCCATGAAAGATGGCTACGCTCTGCTCTGCTTTGTTGGGTGGGGCGGGCACGCTTTGGAGACAGGGAGGGGCTATGTCTGGTTAAACTTGGTCACAAGAAAGGAGGCTGGCAGTGAACGGGAAAGGCTGAGGCAGGGACCCTGCAGGAAGCCTGTGCAGTGTGACATGATGAGGGCTAGTCCTGGGGTGGTAGAGGTGGTGGTGGTAACAGAAACGTGGGACTCCACGACCGACTGAGGGCAAAGGATGGACAGAGCCAACCTGGCTCTGGGATTTTGAGCCTTGGAAGAAGTGGGGCCAGTGGTTCTCTGATGAGGCATCACACCATCAAATTGAGATCTAGGCCGCAACACATCAACTAACTGCAATATATGGACCTTACTTGAATCCTGAAGCTTACAAATAAACCATTACAAAGTGATGAGATAATTAGAAAACTGAATTCTGATGAGATTTGATAACCTTAAGGAATTGTTAACTTTTTAAGTGCGGTAATGATATCGTGGCCCTTATGTTTTAGAGGCACATACTGAAGTATGTACAGATGAAAATGATTTGGGTTTCTTTCAGAATTATCCAGGGATAGGGGAGAGTGGGTGCGATACAGATGGGGCTGATTTGTTTTTGCCAATGGTTAATTGTCGAAGCTGGGGGACATAGAGGTTCATTTTGCTCTTCTCTCTGCTGTTGTATGTATTTGAAATTTTCCATGACAAAAATTCTGGTCCTTGGGTAATGCAGATCTTGTACCCTGGGCCTCATAACTCCCAATCAGAAATCACAAGAGGCATTTTGAGCTGTGCCATGTTAATCTCCTGTCACATTTCAGAACAGAAAAACATGAGCTGGAAAGAAATAATGCTTTGACTTTGTTTGGAAAAACAAACTGGGAGATACACATGATCTCCTTTATCAGGATCATGTGAGGAATCCAATTAACTGGAAAGGCAAAGTCCAAACCGAGAAAAGTGGAGTTTTTATGGTAGCTGGAAATAAACGCCTCTTTTGGAAGAGTTAGTCCCAAGTGAGGTTTCCTGGCACCAGGGCGCTTGGCATGAAATGTGGGAGCTGAGACCAAGTTGAAAAGCCACAGTCTGGCTGCCTGCAAAAGGCCAGCATTACGTCAGCGACAAGTCACACATCCCCCAGGCGGAGGCCAGGGGTGGGGGGTCCAAAGGGGTCTACTGACAGCACCCCAATACTGATTCCCTGGTGCCCACGCACACGGCACCGCACACCCCCCGCACTCACAAGCCACGAAGGCGGGAGGCTGCTCTGCCAAGGTCCCCAGCCGTGCAGGAAGGGGACACTGGCCATCCCGTGCTGGTGGGGGTCCTATGAACTGCTGTGAAGCCCCGTACTTGGCAGGCCATCTCCCAGGCCACAGGGCAGCACACCAGATTTCTTTCTTACTGAGTGCTCCCAAACAGAACACAGCCTCATGCAGGTAAACTAGGAAGCTAGAAAGGTAAATTTTGAACCTGAGTAAGTGACCTAATTTTTCTTTTCTTTTTTGATGGGAAAAAAAATGATACGGGGTGGTAGGGAAGCTAGGGGGATTAATAGAGGGGCATGCTTCCCTGGAGAGGAACAAGCACAAAATTAGCATCAGGATGCAGCTCGGCAAACAGGTGAGGGCCTGCTCTGTGCCAGGCATTATGGGAGAGGCAGGGACGAACGTGACATGGCCCTTGCCTTCCTGAAGAGCACGGGAGAGGGAGGAAACAGGCATGCCCCAAATCTCCTGGATAAATACTAAAACAGGAGGGCATGGAGGTTCTGTGACCCAGGCAAGATAACTCTGTAACTAAGCCAAGGTCTAATTAGGGCAAATCATTTAATCTCAATTCTTCATCTATAAAACGGTACAGTTTTTGCCTTGCTGATCCTATAGAGTTGTAAGGATCAAAACTACTACAAATAATAATAATAAAGCAGGAGTAGAAAATGCTTTTTAGACCCTGTTGCCCCTAAGGGGCTGTGGCTGGTGCTCAAAGACGAGCAGGGACGGCAGCTAACTCCGCGGCAGGCACCTGCGGCTGGGGGCTCGCCCCCCGCGGGAGCAGCAGTGCCCTGCGCTCTCAGTCTCACAGTCGCTTCCCACCAGGCACCTTGTCACACACCCGGCAGCTAGCTGCTTGGCATGAGCGGCTCTCTCCAACCCGTTCAAACTTGCCTGATACAGAGGGTAGAGGCGCTTAGTCCTAGTAATCTCCATGCATCTCGGAGCTGAGAGCCAGAACGGAACTTCCAGAACACAGTGGTCAAATCTCTCATTTGTATGAAGGGTAAAGGAGACTCAGGCAGGGAATGTGACTTGCTCAAGGTCACTCACTGAGGTGGTGGGACGGCTGGCGCTGAAATCTTGTTTTCTGGACTCTTCTCATCCAACATAGCCGCTTCTCTTTCCGAAGAAGCTTTTGCCAACACCGACTCTGCTGCCTTTTATACCCCTAGCCTTTCTTGCCCCCAAATACCTAATCCAGTGTCAGTTCCAATAAAGGGTATTTAGGGCACAATGAAAAAGAAAAATTCCTCCTGATGACCTTTCCCAAGCTCTCTGTTCTTTGGGGTCTTTTATTCTTGGGGAAACTGTTTACCAAATGCCTGTTATGTGTGTGACCCTAATCACAACATGAGTTCACAGTGATCACAGTGAGATGCTCCCGTCCCCAAAGAGTTCTTAGTTTAGTTAGCACTAGAATGCCCTCTTCATGGAACCTTTTGGAACCTCTGTTTTGGAAGAGAAAGTCCTTCTAACCCAGTTCCCTTTAGTCATGTGTCCAAGGAGAAATCATCATCTCATTGCTGTACCTCTTCACTCACGGGGTTTTTCCTTTTGTGCCTGGCCGGCAGCTTCTGCCACCCTGGCCGTGGGTCCAAACGTCATTGGGAGCAACAACAAGGCTGGCAGCCTCACTGTAGAAGGCTTGCCACCCCAGAGCTGTGCCTTTTCTTGACCTGAGGGTTTGCATACTACCTCATGATTGCGCCATCTCTGCTTCCTGCTGTCCCTAAGGAATTTGGTTTTGTCCTCAGCTGAGTAATGGTCTTATCTGGGTGTCCTCTCGCCACCCTCTCCCTCTGCCATCTTGGTGTGGTTGAGTTGCTTTGAGTCCAGGGCTCTGAGATCTTGAAAATTAAAATATAGCTCAGTGAAGACTCTGACATGCGCAAGTGAGAAAACTGGTGTGCACTGAAAGGTTGGACAGGAAATTTTGAAATCCCTTCAAGCTCTAACATTTCCAAGAAGGTATATCCAAAGGTTGACAGCCTGAAAAATTAGTAGGGTTCTACCGTGTATGTCCAGACCTTGGATCAACTCCTCATAGCAAGTTTTTCTTCCAACTCTCCTTACTCTCAGATGAAGTCGCCTAGTTAGAGAACAAGGGGTAGGGAGCCGGGATTCTGTGAGGCCAGTGTACACACGTCCACTCTTGTGAAATAGTGCTGTTGTCTATGGACGGGTTCCCGGAAGAAGTGGTGTTCCTTTCCCTTCCCCTCTGCTACAGTTACTTTCATTCCTCGTGCTGAAATACTGATGAATGGACCCCAGATGGCAAAGCTTGGGTCCCAACTCACAGAGAGCCCACAGAGCACCATGGTTCCACCCTAATGAGCCATGACATGCCAATTACTTGCTTTTCTGGGGAAACCTCCGCCTGAAAATCCATTTAATTACCACAGGGAGATAATCTTTTAAACACAGCTTTACATTCTTTAAAGATTTTTTTTTCCCTGTGGGAGTAAGAAAGTTTATCTGAACATGGGATTGGAGGGTTTATTGCCATTTCCAGAGGAAGGACAATTACCCGGTAGTTAGCAAGAAGCCTGAGCCCTGGAGGAATTATTTTTTAAGTCTCTTCCTGCTCACTGGTAGTTTGGCATTAGTTTGTAGTATTGTCACACTCTCCCAGTATAAACTTTGCACTGAGCTCTGTGATTCCAGGCATATAATTACTTGATATTTTTCAAGCATCCTTATCAGATTGGGTTTTACATTTGCTCTAGATGTGGGTATCAAGAGTCAGTGTCCTCAAGGGTTTCCTATTAGGAAGGTCATACCTCCACCAGCCCCAAAGACCTATCTGGAGCTGTGGTCAGTCCCACACCAATTTTTCCAGCCTGAAGTATCCTAAAGGATGCAAGTTTGGGCAAGCAGGGGCCCTGTTGTTGTGTTCAACCCGGCGGACCCGAGACCCTGAGTAATTCCTGCTCGTAATAGGTGCTCCATAAACAGATGCAAAATTGCTGAAAATCAATAGGTCTTCACATGGAGAGGATGTGTACTGCGTCAAAATATAAACAATGTAAAATTCAAACGGAGCTTGGTGGGCCTTAGTCCTTGGCATGGGGCTGCTTTAGTTCTTCTTTCCCCACATCACTTTAAGAGCAAGTGAGCAGTAGGCTGGGATCTCTGGGTCTTGAGGAATATCCCTGTGGGGACGAAGAGGAGGAAACGAGTGACTGTATTGAACACAGGATTAGACAGTGAGGAAAGAACGTCTGTGGAAAACTGACTAAACTTTGGGCTTGAATCTCTTCTTCCAGGTCCCGATGGGGAGAAGAGCTGGTCCAAGAAGTACCCATCATGTGGGGGTGTGCTGCAGTCCCCAATAGACCTGCACAGTGACATCCTCCAGTACGACGCCAGCCTTGTGCCCCTGGGGTTCCAAGGCTACAATGTTTCTGCCAACGAGCAGTTTATCCTGATCAACGATGGCCATTCAGGTGAGAGAGATACCTCTAAGATCTGCAAGGGGATGTCTGAGCATCCCTCAGCTCCTTGGCCTGCTCTTTTCCATCTGGCAGGGAGGGGCCTCCAGTGAAATACCCAGAAGGGGCAGGGGCGGGGCGTGGGGGAGAGCCCAGGGATGCCTGGACCACTCATTCCGGGGATGCTGGAGGCAGCTCTGCCGGAGCAGCGCCTCTCAGAAGAAGCACATGTCTTGGGAAGGGGGAGGGTACAGGCCTGAGCCTGTTGGCCCCTTGGCTCAAATATTCCAGGAGCCACGTGATTCATTGTGGGGGTCCCCCAGGCTTTGGAGTCAGACAAACCTGGACCTGAATCCTGGCTTGACTCCTTAGGAGTCATGACACTCTGGGTAAGAATATTAACCTCCTTGAGCTTTTGTCTGGAAAATGGGCATATTGATGGGTACCGGGAAGACTAGAGATTACGTATGTTGGGATCTGTAATACAGTAGATGCTTCATAAACAGTAATTTTTATTGTTATTGTTATATTATTCTACAGCTTGGCAGATACTTCATTAACAGTTCTATCTTCCTAGCTGGGTGTGTAACACATGGGGATGTACACCAGACAACCACCCGTTGGTCTAGTATTCATGCTCCTGCCGTCCTTTTCCCAGGGGAGCCGAGAAGGTGCTGGTGCTGCTAGAATTGCTTTAGGGAAATGGGGCCGTTCTCAGAAGAGCCCAGGTTTCTGACCCTCAGGCTGTGTCTCTCCGCTTGCTGTATCCACCTGCCTCCTGTCTGGGCCCGGGCAGGTGTTGCCTCCCTAACTGCTCTCAGGCAGTGCTCAGCAGGCCAGGGCTCTGAAGGCTCCACTCCCCACAGTGAGGCTGAACCTGACCCCGGACATGCACCTCCAGGGCCTCCGGTCCCGCTACACCGCCACACAGCTGCACCTGCACTGGGGGAACCAGAATGACCCGCACGGCTCCGAGCACACTATCGGAGGGAAGCACTTTGCCGCGGAGGTGAGTGGGGCCGCAGAGCTGGCAGAGGCTGCCTGGCGGTGGGTGGTCTGGCACCCTTCCACCCGGCTGGTGGACAAGTAAGATCGGAGCCCGAGCACGAGTTGCCTTCAGGCTCCCCACCCCCACCCCTGGCGCTAAGTAGAGCCACTCCAGCCAGCCTGCAGCTCATCTGCGGTGTCCTCGTCCCCTTCCTCTCCTGAACATGCGGAGTTTGTCTCTCTGTCATTTACTGAACGATGCTGCTCAGAAGGCAATGCTCCCGGGGAGGGGAGGGGGCAGAGGGATGCACATGCCCCTTTTCTAGACATCGCCCCTCTGCTTGCACAGATCAAGATCCCACCAGCTTGTCCGGCCGATGCAGGTCATCCCCGGCACATAATAACATCTTGACTACGGCATCTATGTACCCCAATACAACGGAGCCAGCCACCTATGGCCAAAGGCCAAAACCTATTAGAAGTGTGAGGTATAGCAGTCAATGGAAAAACAGAGGATAACCCTGGTTATAAGGGTTTGATCAGTGTTATAGAGCTTAGAGATCTCAAGATATCAATTGGGGCAGCTTCTTACCCTAGACTTGAGTTGGGATCTGAGGATCTGAGGATGTGCTTCAGGAAGCCCATTCTATATAATATTTTGTGTGTATCCCACTGCTGAATCATACTGGGCTAATTGCTCCCCCAAACTTCTCAGTCTTTCTTCACATGCTTGGAACCTTAGGACCCAGGGTTACTCTTCTACTTGGCCACAAGCCTAGGGATGACTGGCATTACAATACACAGGACATCAGGGCAGTGAGAGACTCGTTGAGGACAGTTTGGGATGTTAGCACAGCACGGTGTTATGTCGCTCTGAGGTACTAACCAAAAAGGCCACAAGAAACCAGGAGGAAGTGGAGCATTGTGCCTGCCCCACAGGTGTGCAGGGGGGACATGGGGGTGCTTGAGTTGCTCCATTTCAGAACTCCCATGGGATAGAACTTGGGGGTGTGGTTCTGAACATTTACAGGGCAATAAATACAAGGAGGTAAATGCTACTGATCAGCCAGGTAAATAATGACATGACCATTCTCCTCTCTTCTTAACTGCTAAACTGCTTAATGTCTCAGGCTAATTACAGGTCAAGTTACAAGTGCGGAGGGGCTATAATTCTGGCCCAATAGGATGGCAGTCTTGGAGGTGCACGTACTTCAAACCAGGCCCATCTCTGAACCTCCAGGACTGCAATTTCTCTCAGGCTAATTGCAATGTGGAGGCTTCTACTTACCCATGGGGAATAAAGAAGGAGCTAGGGTGTAGGCTGGGAGAGTTTGAGCATTTAAAAATATTTCTAGTTATTCTGTTTTCTGCTCTTAAGCCACATCGTCACCAAGGGCCTGGTGAAGATGGAGCATACATATCTATAATAGTGAAAATATATCAAGGTGACCCAAAAGTGGCAGATTCTCTATGGAGGGTCCTTGAAAGTGTAGCAGTTCTTCTGAATTGAGTCCTATAAAGAAGACTCTCTTAAACTCAGCAGGGAATTCTCCTCTGTCTGTATTAGTCTTCACCTCCTCTTGATTTAATCTGAACACAGTAAGAAAAGTGGTGAAACAGACCACGAGCTCAAAGGGCAGCTCTAACAAGAACTAAGGATCTAGGACCTTCAGGGGTTTCACCTTATAGAAGTCTCCATTTCTCAAAGCTGGGCCAAGGTAACACAGTATAGGGCAATATCCTATATCCTGTATCCAACAGGCTATATCCTTCACACAGAAAGATGGTGAAATAGGAACTCCTAAGAAATCTTTAATAGAGGACTACTTAAAAGAAGAAATAATTTTGTATAGTTTTTAAAAATTAGAAAGGGTCACTTGAAATGTGAGGAATACTGAGCTGTATTCAATAAAATATGCTTGAATTCTATTTACAACCATGTAAGACAGAAAAAGAGATGAAGAAAAGGAAGAGAGAAAATCTCAATGTGTTATAGTCCCAAGAGAAAAAGAATCAACAAAAATGTGTATCATGTATATAGACCTATCTACTAAAATAATTTTTTGGAGGACAGGTGACACCATCTTTTGGATTAAAAATTAGGTTAAACATTGTCAGAATTTGATTTTGTCATAACAATGTCTTAATACTTAGACTTTTTAAATCCAAGATTTCTCAGCAAGTTCTCTTTTCCTCACTTTAATAATGACAAGTAATTCCTGCTTTGAAAAAAAATGAGCTTAGAATGTTATTTTGTAAAGGTAAGAATCTACATTCAGGGAGTAACATTCTTGTTTTCTGCTATCTTAAAATATGGCTGATTAAATCTGTACAAGAGCCATGCTGTAATTTTTTTCCATCTGAGGGATAAATACGTGTCCTACTGGGGATACAGTTGCAATTAAGTTACCACTGGAGGTTTCCTGCCTCAGCCCCTACTACTTCAGATCAAATGCAGAGTGGCCAGGCTGAGGCTGGACAAGCTACAATGAGGCCATTTTCCCCTAGGCTCCAGAATAAGTAGACAAAATCAGAGCAGGGCGCCTGTCAGTTGAAGTCTGACTCTTGATTTTGGCTTAGGTCATGACCTCAGGGTCGTGAGATTGAGCCTTGCATCTGGCTCTGCGCTGGGCGTGGAGCCTGCTTAAGATTCTCTCTTTCCCTCTCCCTTTGCCCCTCCCCCCCATCTTTCTCCGGCTCTAAAAAAAAAAAAAGAGAAAAGAGAAAAGAAACGAAGGAAGGAAGGAAGGATCAGAAGAGAAAAGAAAGAATCAGAAGAGAAAAAGAAAGAAAGAAAGAAAGAAAAAGAAAGAAAGAAAGAAAGAAAGAACGAAAAAGAAAGAAGAAAAAATCAGGGCGCCTGGGTGGCTCAGATGGTTAAGCGTCTGCCTTCGGCTCAGGTCATGATCCCAGGGTCCTGGGATCAAGTCCCGCATCGCGCTCCCTGCTCCTTTGGAGCCTGCTTCTCCCTCTGCTTCTCTCTCTCTCTCTCTCCCTCTGTCTCTCATGAATAAATAAATAAAATCTTTAAAAAAAAAAAAAAAAAAGAAAGAAGAAAAAATCAGAAGAGAAAAGTGCTCCAAAGTACCCAAGCTTTTTTTGTGGCTAGTATAAGAACCCATTCATTCATTCCTTCATTCAATATCTATTGTATACCTGGTTCTTTCCAAGCACCATATCAGACACGAATACAATGAGGGAATAAGATGGACAGTCTGCCCTGGTCGAGTTTTCGGTCTGGAGGAATGAGGGAGAAGGGAAAACTGGGAAGGCCATGAAGGAGAGGGTCTGAGAGGCCTAATCTACCTGGGGTAGGGATAGAGGGGTTCTGTCCTCCCCACGGGTTTTGAGTCTCCTGCGAAAGCCAAGGGTTCCCATGAGTCGTCCATCTCCTGTGAGTGGCTTTTCTCCCCCTGCAGCTGCATATCGTCCACTATAACTCGGACCTGTACCCCAACGCCAGCTCCGCCAGTAACAAGTCAGAGGGCCTTGCCGTCCTAGCTATTCTCATAGAGGTAAGAGATGGTGAGAGGGGTTTTAAAAAATTGGAAGCCAGGATGGTATCAGACTCGGCATTTGGTCCATGAGTACCTGTCTGTTGGATGTTGTAGGGCTCACTCTCATTTTGGCTGTATCCTGCCTCTAGAGATTGAGGTATTCCCCCATAGGGTACCTTCTCTTTTGGCCTGGAGGCAGCACTTAGCTGGGTAGCAGAAATGGGCATGTCCTTTGGAACATTGGAAAAAATGAGCCCTAGTTGCATAAAGCTCAGAATAGCTTTATGAGCCCTGTTGCATAAAGCTCAGAATAGCCCAGCTGGATAGGACTTGTCTATAGGGAGTTGGGGGATGGGGATCATTCGGTGCTGCCTCAATCCCTTACACAACTCCTGATATCCAAGTTCCATTCTTTCCTTAATTCCCAGAAAATGGGAATGTTTCCTGATTTGCTTGCATGTTTTTCCCTAAAAAGACAACATGTACCTCGTTTCTCAACATGCTTACTTGCCTGACTTGGCTTGCGTGAACTCAAGCTCCCTTAAGTTCTGGTTAAAGAACATGCTAGTTGTGGCTTTCAGGCTCACAGCCTGATAATCAGGAGCACAAGCTATATTCCTTGCCTTGGGACACGCAGGCCCCAGTGCCTTGACTGCTCAGCACCTTGCATCCTGAGATGCAAGAGGACAGGACCATCACCCCAAATCCCTAACAGCCCAGGGGTCTTTCACAATTGTCCTGGTAAAGTGCATTCCTCCAGGGAGGATCTTGGCAATGGCAACTATATACCCCTAGATGAGCCCTTTCGTGAGCAAAGGTCAAACAAGGCTCAGCCGACAGAATTCCGTCCCAGTTCAACCTGCCCCGTCTCTGTTGCAGATGGGCTCCTTCAATCCATCTTATGACAAGATCTTCAGAAACCTTCAAGATGTAAGATACAAAGGTAAGGGGTCCTTGGATGCATATTCGCCCTCTGTTAGAGAAGGAGGTAGTCACTCCCATGTGACCTGAAGAAAAACGAATGCAGGGGGCAGTTTCATATTCTAGGCTCAGTCATAGGCCCAGCAGCACCTCTGCCATGGGGTGAAAGCCTGACACCATTTCTCCACCATGTCTCTCCAGGCCAAGAAGTGCTCATTCCAGGTTTCAGCATTGAAGAGCTGCTTCCTGAGAGGCCTGATGAGTACTATCGCTACAAAGGGTCCCTGACCACACCTCCTTGCCACCCCACCGTGCTCTGGACGGTTTTCCGGAACCCTGTGCAAATTTCCCAGGAGCAGGTAACTGTTGTGCCCTTCTGAGTCAGAGACCACATGGCACCTTGGTCCCTGCCGTCACCCAGCTCATAATCACCAACTTGGTTTCCTCACTTAGAGTTTCATTGACAGCTAAGCCAAACCTCTTCAAATATCACAGGTGCCTGGAAGCATGGCAGAAATTACAGGCTGAGCTTCAAAAGTGGAGTTACTGAGTCAAGCTAAGAAAATGAACCTGTCTCCACAGTTCCTTACAAACAAGTTGTTAAGCTGCATTTCCTAGTATTTCCCTCAGTGGCTGGATGGTGTTTCCTCTGTGGCGGGAGAGAGCACGGTTCCTTTATAGGGCGGAATCAAGACGGAGCCAGTTAGTGTAACAAACTAGAGGGCTGGGATTGTAGCAGTGAGTAAGCGGAGGTCTCTGCCCTCAAGAAGCTCATGGTCTAGTGCAAAACCGGGGGCACAGAATCCTCAGCAATCATCTCCGACCCTCTCATCTTACAGGTGATGAAAGTGAGGGGTAGACAGATGAGGGAGCTTGTGGGATTGCCCGCTGATTGGCCACAAAGCTAAGCCCCAAAGTCACACTGGAGTTCCTGGTCACTGCCCGTCCCTCTGCTCCCCAGAAATTCATCAAGAAGAAAACTGGCTGTCCAGGAGACATGGCCGGGGCAGTGCCACACACGGGCTCCTGGCCCACCCCGCCCCTGGCCCCTCTTCCCGCGTCCAGGAAGGCCCTCACTGTTGCTCCTTCTTTTTACTATGAGCTACCGATCTGAGTAATGTAGATAAATGGCAGCAGGTAGGCGGACAGGAATAAAGAAGTGATGAATCAAGAGATGAAATGTGTGGGGGAGCAGTAATACCCTAACCTAGAAACCACCTTGGAAACCGATTATATAATCTATGTGGGTGTATGAAAATTCTGTGGAACCAGTTGTCAGAGGACCTGTGAAACTCTTGCCTCCTTTTTGTTCCTTTTGATAAGACCATCAGAATAAGCCTTAGGCCCCTCTAATTTAGAGTTGGGTTCCAAATCGGGCCCATGAGAGGAATGCCATGTCCATGAGAGGCTGAGGAGTCACCACCCAGCAGCTAACAGCACTAACTTCCCTCCAAGCCTTGGGAGGAGGGGACAGACCAGCTCACCCGGTGCCCAGTCGACCAGGCACCAGCAGGGGAGGGGAGCAGTTTTCTGGCTTTCCCACGGCTTTCTGATGTGCCTCCTGCCATGCCCCAGAGGTCTCTTCCCCAGTGAGGTCAGGCAAGAGAGCATCACTCTGCCCATGGGCTATGTTTCTGCTGCTCCCCTTGCAGCTGCTGGCTTTGGAGACTGCTCTGTACTACACATACGTGGATGACCCATCCCCCAGAGAAATGGTCAACAACTTCCGGCAGGTCCAGGAGTTTGAGGAGAGGCAGGTGTACATCTCTTTCCGGCAAGGTGAGAAGATGCGGTGCTGTGGGGGGAGTATGGTGCCAAGACACCCACTGAATATGAAGTTGGGTGCCCTGCCCTCGGGCTGTGTCACTGATGCCGTTAGGAGGTGGGTTAGGAGCACTCTGGCTGCCAAGGGAACCAGGATGTGTAAGAAGATACTGTGTGTGGGTTTACTGAGGTCACCCTTCACTGCTCTTGACTTCCCTGAGCCTTTGCAGGGAAACACTAACCAGGGCCTCTAGGCGCCTGGACCAGAGCCTTCATTAAATCTGGGAGTCTCCCACAGATGGGAAGAGAGGATGCTCTGGGGGACCTCTCTGCTCTGGAGAACTACCCTTCTCCTAAGACACAGGATAGGACTGTTTTCATGAGATCAAACTCTTAACTTCTTACCCTAGGCTTTCTTGGCATCAAGGCCCATCTTCAGCCTTGCCAGGTGATTCATAGCATCACCAACGTTCAGGGAAGGTGCTTTGTAAGGCTTCAGAGAGTGGGCGTAATCCACATTTGTAGCCACAGCAGCTCCTGGTCTAATATGGCAGGACCCATCAGGCAAGAAAGCGTCTGCACTCGCTGCTCTTTTTTTTTTTTTTAAAGATTTTATTTATTTATTCATGAGAAACAGAGGGAGAGAGAGAGAGAGAGAGAAGCAGAGGGAGAAGCAGGCTCCCAAGGAGTAGGGAGCCCGATGCGGGACTCAATCCCAGGACACCGGGATCATGACCTGAGCTGAAGGCAGACACTTAACGACTGAGCCACCCAGGCGCCCTGCACTCGCTGCTCTTTTGTTTCATCTCCTTAAGCATGAATGAAGCGTGAGTTTGGTTTAGTCTTAAGGCTATGAAAGTTCAGTTCTTCCTTTTAAATCTGTAACCATAACTCCCCAGAAGGACATTGAACGTCTTTATTTGTTCAATACCTATGTTGATACTGTTGGAAGCCGGCGGTTCAGGGAAACAGGTAAGGGCGCCCTCTCGTGGCCCACACCCTTCTTCGAACCTCCAAGTTCACTTTCTCACTGTAGATTCTTGACCCACTCTCGATAAGGGAATGGCAAGCGGCCAGAAGCAGGGTAGGTCTGTGAAAGTTCTACTTTATCCCCTTCTATCACTTGTGACTGAACCAGGCCAGGTGATCGTATCCAGAGATGACCCCACTGACCCACTATCCGGGAATCAGCTCTCCTGGCCTCACCTGGTGTACCTTTGTTGTTGTTCCTTTATTACTGTGTGAGATTAGAACTACCACTGACTAAGCTTAGTTAAACATAGGGAGGACTGTATTTCAGGGCCCTTGCCAGCAAGCTTTAGAAACATGCCCTTCTGAACAGACCCATACATATGGTCAGAATTAAGTTCTTCTGTCAGTTACATAATCAAGAACTGCCCGAGAATTTATCTTTTGTGCTCTCCTCTCCAGATACCACTGGTTAAGGTAATTTCTCTCTTTTCCTCAGTTTCCTGGTCTGAAAACTCAATCTGTGAACATTGACCCTTCCTAAAAATTGAGAATGTATATGATGATGACTGTCAACTTCTCTTCTAGGAAATGCCTCAAATGTACAGAATTATCCCTTTGTGATCTCTTTTGGATATAAATTTCTCTTTTCCTGTTCTTCAAAATGGAGAGCAGTCAAGGGTTAAATGGAAAATACTTCAACTCTTCAATAAAATAAAAAAACATAAAAACTCTACCTGGACATAAAGGACTGGGCCCACATAGATAAGGTTGAATTTTGCTTGTGATTCAAAGATAGTAATCAGATCTCCTCTCTGGGCTGGTCTATACAAGTCACAGGGGATACGGTGATAAATACTCCCTGTATAGTCAGAAGACCTAGGCTGGAGGCCTCAGTTTGTTTCCTCCTGGCTGTCTGATGTAAGCAAATCATGTCCCTTCTTTGGCCTTGGTTTCTTCAGCCATAAAATAGTAGGCTGGGCTAGATGAGCTAACATGCTTTCAGTGCTAACACGTTATATGATTCTAAGCGGACACTAACGACTGTCCATCCTCACTTTACGTTGCTGGGACAGTGTTTGAGGACAGTTACAGAGGATCAGAAGAAACCATGCAGGAACTTGAGTCTGACATCCAAAAGTAACCTCCACTTGTAACAGTGGACTGTGGCATTGGGAATAATTAGCCATCTTCTTAGACTGGCTCAGCTCTAAGTTGGCACTCATGGAATGGGCAGTGTAGTCAGGCCTGCAGCAGAGCGCTTCACTAGACTCTCCTAATCTAGCTGGGGAGCTTGAGGGGCCCCTCAGCAGAAGCCTGGAGACTAACTCCAAGCTTAGGACATCAGGATCAAAGCCCAAACGCAGGTTTGCCACTGCCTTTCCTGCACGGTTCACCCAGAACTGCTGTTTCAAGGAGCCCAGGCTGGGCCCAGCTCTCCCCTTGGAGTGAGACACCATGGCAGTCCAAGGCAAACCTGTTCATTTGGAGGGTGATTATAGAAACTCGGCCAGAATTGTCCCCTCCTGCTCACTTCTCAAAGACACACGCAGCTAACAAGGGCTGTTTCCCAAGGAGCAATGGGGAGGGCAGCCCCAAAGGAGTGAAGCCCCAAATCTCACCCTCAGGGGCACCTGCATTCATGAGGGCCCTCTCACACCCACTTGGAGGGGCCTCAGACTGTAACATGCCATTTCAGGTTTATGGGGTGAGCCCGTTTGTCAGTGTGAACCTTGAGCAATTCGGACTCTATTTATACACTCTTCCTCTGAGGCATGCTTGTAATTAGGGTCTGATTGATTCAGGGTCTTCTCTGGAAGTTAACAGGAACTATGGAGTTGGAATATTTTTCCAGGAGAAAAGTAATGTAAAGGAAATCCTCCAGGAGAGAAAGTGCAAGGACTTTGAGATTAGGCTCTGAGGTTTAACCAAATTGGAACAACTGGGACTGAATCATTTAGCTTGACCATGCTTTTTCCTCAACTGTGCTTAGAAAAGGAATGAAGAACTTGGTTTCTGTCCTTAAGAGGCAGTAGTCTGTCCTGTAGCCCTCAAAAAGAATGGAAATCTTGACATTTGCAATGATGTGGATGAAGCTAGAGAGTATTTTGCTAAGAGAAATAAGTCAGTCAGAGAAAGACAAATACCATATGATTTCACTCATATGTGGAATTTAAGAAACAAAACAGATGAACATAGGAAGCAAAAATAAAATAAAAACAGAGAAGGAGGCAAACCGTAAGAGACTCTTAACTCTAGGAAATAAACTGAGGGTTGCTGCAGAGGAGGTGGGTGGGTGATGGGGTAATTAGATGATGCATTAAGGAGGGCACCTGATGTAATGAGCACTGGGTGTTATATGCAGCTGATGAATCACTAGATTCTACCCCCGAAACTAACAATATACTATATGTTAACTAAATTGAATTTAAATAAAAAAATTTTAAAAATAATAAAGAGGGGCGCCTGGGTGGCTCAGTCAGTTAAGCGTCTGCCTTCAGCTCGGGTCATGATCTCAGGGTCCTGGGATCGAGCCCCACATCGGGCTCCCTGCTCAGTGGGGAGCCTGCTTCTCTCTCTCCCACTCACCTTGCTTGTGTTCCTGCTCTCGCTGTGTCTCTCTCTGTCAAATACATAAATAAAATCTTAAAAATAAATAAATAAAATAAAAAATAATAAATAAAATGCTGAAAAAAAAAAGAAAAGAAGTACAGACTTAAGTAGTCTGTACTAACTGCGATTTAGCCCTAGCTCAGGGTTTCTCAACCTTGGTGCTACTGACATTTTGGGCTGGATTATTCTCACTGGGGGGCTGTCCTGTACATTGTAGAATTAGCAGCATCCCTAGCCTCTCCCCACTAGATGCCCGTAATACCTGCCCAATTCTGACTGCCAAAAATGTCTCCAGACATTGTCAAATGTCTCCAGGGCAGGAGAGGCAAAATTGAGAACCACTGCCCAGAGATTACACAAACACTTTCCTAGGCTCAGACTGATTTTTTTTTTTTTTTCACTCAGAGGATTCTGGAGTTTTCTGTCAAATGCCCTGGTCTTTATTCTATTACAGCATGACATTTTCTTTTTTTTTATTGCCTTTTAAAAACATTTTTATTTACTTATTTGAGAGAGAGAGAGAGGGAGGAAAGAGCACAAGTTGGGGGGGGGGAAGCAGAGGGAGAGAGACAAGCAGACTCTGCACTGAGCGCGGAGCCCGGCACGGGGCTCGATCCTACGACCCAGAGATGAGGATCTGAACCCAAATCAAGAGTAGGGTGCTCAACCGACTGAGCAACGCCGATGCCTCTACAGCATGACATTTTCAATCTGGTGATGGTTACCCCGAAACCAAAAAGTTGTTGGATTATTAAGGTAGAGCAACCAAACTCAAGAGAAACCCTGTTCCCCATCTTCCTTTAGAATTTGAATATACCTTCTTTTTATATAATTGGGTACATCCAAGGCTAAGAGAAGTGGATGAGAGAGAACTATCTACCCTAAGGAGAACTATACAAACCACTTTATCAAGGGTCCAGATGCTTCTGAGGCAGCAAGTTGCCTCAGAATCTCCTTATCATTTTTCTCCCTTGCTTTTGTACCATTTTTTTTCTCTCATGTGTGTTGTGTTTCTTGTTGCCTTTGGCTAAAATGCCCACTCTTTGTGGAGAGGTGAAACTCACGTGAGGCACTTTTTTTAGCTCTTAGAAAGTGCCTCTTCCAAGGGGCACAAATAGAGAAGACTTGAGCTAACGAGAGGACACAAAACTCATTGTCCTCAAGGAGGGATCCCAGAGAGGGGAACACACCCTGTGAGCAGACCAGACCTCACAAAAGTCAGATCCCTCTGGGAGGAAGGAGAAAGATGGCAGAGGCAGATTTACAGACCAGGGGCCTGATTCTTGGTTCCTTCAAGTTGACCTCTTCCTAGCTAAACATACCAGCCCTGGGTCCTGATGGTGACGGGTCATAAAGGAAGAGCCTATCAAACTGAAATGCTAATGTTACCCAGCCCTATTTTTAATATGCCAGGGCAAGGGAAACTTGAGGGA